GGCCTTTGTATATACCGGAACTTAAACTCAATAGGTTCCTATCTAAAATTTCAAGAACAAATATGGAACCGAACCAATAATAAACGGTTCGGTTCTTACTTTTATCGGTTCCTAAGCATAAATATTTTTCCATAAAAAATTAAACTAATTTACTTTCTACAATGAAAAACGTAAAAAATTCAAAACACAAGCAATAAGTACTTTTTTAAGTGACAAATGTAAACACATAGCCAGTACACCCATAACTCCCAGAGTTCTTAGCTATCCAGCTTGCATCACTATATCCTTCAAGAACAGGAGGATATTTGCCATAATGCAAACACAAGGAAATATTTCCTTTCAAGTATCTAAATACTCTATTTAAGGCCTCCCAATGAGTTCTGTTTGGACAACAAGTGTACCGACTCATTTTAGACACTGAAAATGCAATATCAGGTCTAGTACAGTTAGCTAAGTAACCCAAGCTACCAATCATCTGAGAATATCTTAATTGAGACACAGGAACACCACTTTCATTTTTATACAAAGCTACTGAAGGATCATAAGGTGTTTTAGCAATTCTACTATTTTTAAATCCAAATTTCTCAATTAATTTTTCAATATAATGTGACTGAGAAATAGAAATGCCTTCAGTTGATCTAATCAACTTTAGTCCAAGAATTACTTCAGCCACCCCCATATCCTTCATTTCAAACTTAGTTTTCAAAAATGACTTAGTCTCAAAAATAATATTATCATTAGTGCCAAATAATAATATATCATCAACATATAGGCATAAAATAATACTTACATCACCTTTACATTTATAATAAGCACTTTGATCAGCATCTATAAGAGTAAATCCAAACGAAAAAATTATTTTATCAAATTTTTCATTCCATTGCTTAGGGGCTTGCTTAAGTCCATATAAAGACTTAACTAATTTACAAACTTTTGTCTCATTGCCTTTTGCCACAAATCCCTCAGGCTGATCCATATAAATTTCTTCTTCAAGGTCACCATGAAGAAAAGCTGTCTTAACATCCATTTGATGAATTTTAAGACCATATACGGAGGCCAATGCTATGAGCATTCTTATCGTGGTCATTCTTGCAACAGGAGCATATGTATCGAAAAAGTCAATATCTTCTTTTTGTTTATAACCCTTAGCAACTAATCTGGCCTTATATTTGTCAATGGTTCCATCTGGTTTTAACTTCTTTTTAAAAATCCATTTACATCCAATAGTGGTACAACCAGGAGGAAGTTAAACGAGCTCCCATGTTCCATTTTGAACAATAGAGTCCATTTCACTTTTAATGGCATCCTTCCAATAAATGGCCTCGGATGTGGCCATTGCATCTCTAAAGGAAATTGGTTCTATCAGGAACGAACTTTGTTCTGTTTGATATAAATAATTGTCATGTCTGATAAGTGATTTAATGGATATATGCCTGCCTGACAATACCTCATCTATGAAGCTAAATTACTTTACACGTGGCACATCTCTCATACATGACTAATCATTTACTTTAATGACTTAACCTATATATGTGTCACTTAAATAAATACCTTGCCACTTAAATGGTAATTAACCATAACCTTTTATATATGCAAAGAGACCAAGTTATCTTTCCATAAAGGTCAACCGAAATCTCTTTTGGTAAGAATATTATCGTAGCGTGACTTAACTACATATCTTATTGATACTTAATATCCATTGCATATTTACATGATAAGTGAATCTGTGCTTCCTTATATAATGGTGTGTAAATCATGAGTTGATTGAACGAATAAGACAGAAACTACTAAAAGGAAAGTAATTCAAAATCATCAAGGAAAGTCTACCATGCTTTCAAAGGAAAGGAGAATCAACAGACATCTTCCGATATATATATATATATATATATATATATATATATATATATATATATATATATATATATATATATAAGGTGCGGTTCCAATGAGAACGATGCTTAACGTGAGAACACTCACAATTAACCCAATGTGATACATCATAGAGCCCGTCTAGTGCACATTTCGACTTTGCTCAAAACAAGCCAATATAAATAACACAGTGGCATTTTGGTAAATATTATGCCAAACACGAAAAAGTGCATTGGGCGAGTCTCATTGTGCATCACAGTGGCGTAAATATGGTGTTCTCACGTTCTCACGTTAAGCATTGTTCTCATTTGATCCTATATATATATATTTGAAGACCAAAAGAAGAGAGGTGTGCTTAACCGAGCAATTACAGAGAGAAACACTTACAAAGAGTTATAAAGTCCAAGGCACCTGAACCTGCTCTCGAAGTTCTAGATATAGTTTCTTTTCCCTTCTTTATCTTGTAACTAGATTTTGAGGAAACGATAAAGTATAGCTTCCTCGGGTTGGGGTCGTGTATGTTAGAGCTTTGTTGTAAAGCTGAGAGGCTCTCTACCCGCAAGGTAGAGATGCATGACTCTTCCTAGAGAGGTTAGAGTTGGGGTGGCTCAAGGGTAGATTAGGAGGATTTACCAGCTTGTAACCACAAATGGCTTTTTAGTGAAATTGTTTAAAATTCCTTCGAGGGAGGTCGAGGTTTTTTAATCCCTTTGAGCCAAGGGATTTTTCCTCGTTAAATCCTTGTGCATTTTACTAGTTTGCAATTCCCTGAACCCCACATTAGAACTGGGCGAAAAACTGCCACGGTTCTACACAAACACAATTCACCCCCCCCCCCCCCCCCCCCTCTTGTGTTGCTAACCGTTTCATCAATGGTCTTAATACTAAAAACAAAACATATTAACTATTTAGTTTAATTAATTGAGCAATTAAACTCCTTGTTTCATTGTTTACATTTGATAGTATATGGAGTTACATATTCTTATGTGCGAGTTACATCTTTTTTATGCGTGAGTTACATCTTCCTATGCGTAACTTTCATTTGGACTTGCCTTAACAAGTCACATTTTGCATACACCTAAGTTAGATTTTTCATCAACGCGATTTACATTTTTCATAACATGTGTTACATAACAAAATAAACCCTTGCAAAAATATCATTGCAAAAACAAATGATTTTTTAGAAAAACGATCAATTTGTTTGGTTAAAAAATGATTTTTTAGCAAAAAATAATTTTAAAAAAACATTTTGTATGGTCTATTAAAAATAAAACATATTCACTATTTTGGTAAAGTAATTGAGCAATTGGACCCATTGTTTTCATTGAAATCAGTGTTTTTTTCTTTTATCCGTATTAGACAAGTTACTTTTCGACCATCATGCAGTTACATTTCTTATATGCGTGTGTTACATTTCCTTACACGCGACTTACATCATTATGCTCCAGGACAATGAAAAAGAAAGTTATTGTTCACGCGCGTGAACAGTAACACACGTTTTTGCCCGTGGGAGCACCATGCTCATCGTGGGCTGCTCCCACGGTATACCAATTGGATATTAGCCACAATTACCGGAGCTATACAACAATGTTAGCAACGGGTGCTTATTAAGTCAGATGTCTAAGGATGTTTTTTCTTGGACTTTTTCAGTCCCAGACAAGACTAGACCAGACCTAAACAGATCATACCAGACTAGATCGGACTAGACCAAACCAGACTTAAACGGATCAGACTAGACTTGACCTCCGTAGTTATATAATACACAGAGACCAAGCGTTTACCAGACCAGTTCAGACTAGACTAGACCAGTTCAGACCGCACCAACAAATTACAGTCCAAGTAAAAACAAGCTAATCGATCATACAGAGTATGCTAAGGGAGGATGAAATTCTTATATGGTTCTTGTACTTGATCAATGACATTAGAAGTTCACTATTGGAAAATGGCGATTTTAGGATCTCCTTTTGTAAAAGGTCTACGAAGTGCGCCGCTCATGGTCTTGCTAGGGCTAGCGTAGTTGCTCCTAATGTTAGAGATTGGTTTGAGTCAGTTTCAAGTTGTGTTGTAAATCATGTCTCAATTAAACGACACGTTGATTTAATAGAAGGGGATTATTTACCATAAGAAATGTAACATTGATAAGTCTAAACATTGTAAAAAGGTCAAGCCTAATACAATACACTCTAGTCCCTAGTATACAACTCATGTATGTAGGGTACTCCGTATTCATCAACTTATATATATCAACATATTTTAGGATACAACTCATGTATGTAGGGTACTCCGTATTCATCAACTTATATATATCAACATATTTTAGGATATTGACTTCTTTCAAATGCACAACTTTGACTGTAATTGTATTTAGTTACTCCGTATTAGTTAACATTATAAAAGGTTGATATTTTGGAAATTCACATTGATATGAATTCAATAGCATTGTATACGTAATAATTTGATTATGTATATTAGTAGAAAATCGTGGTCAAAGTGATTTTTGTGAATAGTGCAAAAATCACAATGTTGCAAGAATAAAAGAACGGAGGAAGCCTCCGTTCTTTAATTCTTGCAACAGTTTGACTTTCACGTTTGCCAACGCACAACTTTGACTGTAATTATATTTAATTTTGTATTAGTAAACATTATAAAATGTTAATATTTTGGAAATTCACATCGATAGGAATTCAATAATATTTTATACGTAATAATTTGATTATGTATATCAGTAGAAAATCATGGTCAAAGTAAGATATGTGAATAGTGCAAAAATCACAATGTTGCAAGAATTAAAAAAGTACTACCATATGATAACATATATAGCTAGATTTGGAACTAATAGCTGATCTCGTCCATTCTTTAAATTCGGTATCTAAGTTTTAAATGGAATAATAATTCCAATTGTCTAATTTTCACAACGCATGTAGTATGTATATACAAATGATAAATGTTAACGTGCCTAATATATATGTCATTATATTCAGTATCTTCTCAATTAAATTTCTTAGTATATTTATGTTTTAAATTTAAATTTAGAAATAATTCCTAAATTAGCGGGGTACACAATTATATATTTATGAATGTATAAATATACCACCAATATACTTCAACAGTTCCACTTCTCATAGTCACACATATCATTCGTATTTTTGTGCTCCTAACAGGTAAACCGAAATTATGCACACATTATATTATTTTTTATATTGTTAATGGTTGGCAACTTAACATCCTGTGTTATTCTTTTACTTCAAAGTTTCACTCATACTTAATATTAGCGCATGTAATTGTAATTGAATAACAAACATTTTGCATGAAGATGATCCAATAAATTACACAGCTAATCGATAACCTATTTCTGTCCAATAATTCAAGATTCATGATTGAGCAAAAAATGATGATTTTTAAAATATAACTCAAATGTATATACCCTAAAAAGTAAAAACACTTGCATGTTTTGAAAAGTGACCTTTTTTGGAATTCATTGAAAAACATGATGCATGTTTGTAGTGCTTCGTAGTACTACGCTCCAGAAATTTGACACAATTTTCAAGAGAAGCATTCAACAATTTTTTTGAATATTTTTTATGAGGGAAGGATGCCGAATTTGTGGTTAATGAGAGGATGAATTTTTTTTCGTTAGAGTGAGATTTTGCCAATTTTTTTATTCAAAAAAAAAAAACTCATTAGCATATACTTCCTCCGTCTCAAAAAAGGTTCGTCAAATTGAACAAGCGACCACATTCATTTTAGAAGACAAGAATGCTATCACAAAATGTTAAGTGATTCCTATTAAATTAGCATATTTTCGAAGCTATATGGTATTATAATCTATTTATACTTTGTGGTGCCATTCCACTATTTAGTTGTGTAAACAAATCATACTACTCATTTGTTACACATTTGTTTCAGCAGTCTACCAATAATGTCATCATCTACTGCATCTGTGAACGGGCCTAGACGTCAGATAAGTGAACGCGGAAAAGAGATAATATATCAGTTGCTGACAGCTAGGAGGAGGATTCAACAGTTAACAACTTATATAAATAACCTTCGTATGATATACAATATGAGTGATGAGCACAAAACCGCTATGTATCAAGCTGAACAAGAACGACATAACGTGATTGATCAAGAGCAGAGAATGGAAGTCATACTAGCCAACCAATTTGACTTGAGTGGTGCAATAATAAGAGATAATATGGCTCTCCAGTCTTTGATACCCGAGTACTTTCGATATTAGTGATGATCTACTAGTCAATTGTTAGTAATTAATAATGAATAAATGCGAGTAGTACATTTATTAATTTTATAGTTAATTAATATTGTAGCTCTAAGTATTTTGATTAATTATGGGTTTCAATTTTATGTTTACCATCCACAACCATTTATATGAATAAGAGCATGCATTTCGTATATATCAAAGCACCACTCTGCAGCAACCTCCAACGCTGCATCGCATATTCACATGGACTTCCGGGCCTTCTTCCTTATCTTATTGGTCGGCCTCCTTGCATAAACGTAACGTAATTATTACTCCCTCCGTTCCCAAAAATACTTCCCACTTTCCTTTTTGGGCTGTTCCCAAAAATACTTCCCACTTTCTCATTTTGGACAATTTGTGTGGCTCACATTTATTTTACTTTTTTCTTACACAACCACAACCATACATTTCCACTTTATTCCACTTTCTTAATAAACGTGCCAAGTCAAACCGGGAAGAATTTTTAGGAACGGAGGTAGTATTATAATTATAATTTAGTTACGCCACATCCTTATCATTTCTTCTCATAGTTTTTATTTATTAATAGGGAGTAGTGTATTATTACAATAAGTTGTGACTACTCATTTACTTTACTAATGTACATGATATTTTGTTCGATCTATTTAAGTTTTGTATAATAGATCCCTAAATCAATTTATGACTTTACTACTTCATTTTATTATACGTATTAATTAATATAGGACTCTACTTTCAGCCGATTTTAGTTTTACATACCTATATATTAATTTATGACTTAACTGTTTTAGAGCCCGTTTGGTAATACCGAAATCGGATGTATTAGTTGATTCTGATAAAGTTTGTGAATTTTTGGCTAAAGTGTCTGGATTGGGTGATTCTGATGATTTATGAAAAAATTATATTTGAAATATATTTTATTAATAAAATAAAGAAAAAATTATATGAAAAAATAGTTAAAATGATTTTCTATAATAACTTCAATCAATACAACCAGAAAAGTAACTTCAGCCTTACTTTTTCTTATTTTTAAGTAATTCAGCGCGCAAAATCAAAATTTACGTGTTTGAGAGAAAAGTTGACTGATAAGCTTGATAAGCTGAAAAACTGGGTTACCAAAGGCGCTCTTACTCTGGCAAAACGAGCTGGAGCTGAGAGCTAGTGTCTGAATCAGGGACTATTGTTTGAATTAGAGACTAATGTTTGGAGCTGAATTTTTAAATGTTGAACCTCAAATGTTAGCTGAATGTAATAGATCCGTTTGGGAAAAAGAGCTAAAGATAGCTGGATTAATTTATAATTACATTAAAGGACATACAATTTATTAATTGAACAAAATAATTATTATAATGACTTTTAAGTTTGGGAAATATTTGAACTAATACTCATGGTCATGGTTTCTCCTAAAGGTTGACCTCCCATCTTCTAAGAAATTGATTTAACTTGTAGCTCTTTACTAAGATGAACAAAACATTATATCGAATTGATTGAATTAGTAGCTCTAGGCATGGACCGGTTCCGGTCTGCCCGGCCCGGGAACCGGCCCGGCCCACCATTGTGCGGGACCGGTTCGGCCCGGTTGCCTGGTACCGGGCCAACTTTTTTTTAAAGTCTTTGGGTGGTAGACGGGTTGGGTTGGGTGTTTTGGAGGGATTTTGAGTCTGGCGTGGGTGGGGGTAGGAATTAATTAGAAAAGCAAAAAAAACCGCTACCCGACCCGGCCTGGTCCCGGTAGAATCCCGGGCCGGCCTTAACCCCCGTAAAAAAGTTCGGTTGGACCGGTCCATGCCTAAGTAGCTCACTTTTCCTAAAATTTCTCCTAGTTTCTTGAGGTTAATTTCGCCAGACCACTATTCACTGGCCGTTGCACAGAAGATGACTGGCTTCTTCCTTCTGATAATTTTTTTAAGATGATAGCTTGCTAGACGGAATCCAATCTTCAGTGGCTATTCGATTGCCGAGAGATCGAGCACATGGAGTACAGCTACGATTGGAAGACAACTTGATAAGCTCGAGATTGGGAGAATGGGGGAGAACGTAAAAAATACATAACAATTTGGTAGATAACCTTGCTAGGAATTGAAGAAGAAATAGTAGGGGGAAGCGATCGATTGAGGAAGAAGCCCTATGCGCCTGAAAATGGGAAAATGGATTAATGGAAACTAATAATCCAACCTTTTAACGGTTTTTTACAATAGTCCCATAAATATTCATTATTCATGAATAATACAACCTTTGCATCTCATCTTCATTCACTGGTCCCTGACCGATTTATGACCTGTTATTCTAAGTTATTTTCTTATCTTTGTAAAACATTATATCATAATTCCCACCTTATGATCACATAATGTTTTGCAAAAATAAAAAAATAACTTGGAATAACATGTCATAAATCGGTCAAGGGTTATTCATGAATAATGAAAAGGTGAGACTATTGTAAGAAGACTACTAAAAGGTTAGATTATTAGTTTCCATTTTCCCTATTCGGAATAGAAGTCTGGAAAGACGCGGCTGAATGTCAACGCTTTTCCCTTTTACGTTTTATTTCAGACCATTAATTTCAGTTCAAGACCATTTCAGCCCATTAAACAAACAAGACTGTTTTAAATTAAATTGACTGGTTTTTAATATTTCAGCCCATGTGGCTTCCCAAACATAGTTTGGTACTTAAGTATATGACTCTATGTTCGGCCTATTTTAGACTTTAGTCTTACATGTCTAAATTAATTTATTTCAGTATTAGTATACTATTTTCTACCTAACTCTTAGTGTGACCATTACTTATGAATCCACATATAATATCTAATTCATAATATATATTTATCTAGATATAAATAAATCGTCTAATTTAGTTGGTCGATCATTTAAACGTTACTGCCGTCCCTTTGAAAGTGCTCCTATTAGCGCAACTTTGGCTAACGGCGGCATTCCGTTTTCTTCCCTCTCTTCCGAGCAACAGAACTTCAAATTACCTGCAAATATCTTCTGACTGCTGAAGCGATTGGAGAGCGCCGGATAGCCACACATGGAAATATCTCTGACAGTTTTCATCGTCCACCGCCTCTTCTCTGCGGGCGCCGTTTTTTTACTGTTTGATGCTTTTGCGGCTGGCTCCTACAAGATGGCCAGGATCATTTCATTGCTTTATTTGTGCCTATCTACGCTTGCTTTCTCCTTTCCTTCTGCTTGGCCAACGCTTCGATCGTTCTTCCGAGATTGTGAGTGTTCTGCTATTAATTTTTTCATTGCTTTTCTGTGTCTTCCATGGGTCTGTTTCTTGCTCTTTAACCCGTTCCTTTCTTCGTTGGATGTGATCGGGGTGTGGGAGTACAATTTGTTGTCTTACATCCTTTTTCATGTGTGAAAACCCCTGGGGTGTGATTTTTTTTTGTATTTCTGTGGGAACCTAAAGGTTGTCGTTAGGTGGTTTCGGATTGGGTCCATGGGTTTTTGTGTGTTGGAAACCATGTGTTCGTTTTTTGGGTTTACCTCCTTGACTGCTTCTGGGGTGTTTTATGTGTTGTTCCAGTGTTTTCCATGGACTGGGCCTTTTCTTGCCATATATAGAGTTTTTTTCTGCGTTGTGTGTGTTTGGTTGGTTGTTCGTAGATATTTGTGTGCTTCCATGGGGGTGTCTGGGATATTAACTCTTGTTTGTGGTGGTCAAATGAGTTGGGAGGTTCGTGGTTGCCTACTCCTGGGCTTGAGGTGGATTTTCATGGCTTCATGTTGTTTGAGATTTTCAACTTATACGTTTGTAAGATTGTGACTTCGGCTTTAACTTTGGGTGAATTCTTGTGTTTTTCTTTGTCTGGTACCAGGTATGCCTGCACGAATAAATTTGATTCGGTAAAGTTGTGAGTGTTGTATGCTCGTGTTCATGCTTTTGAATGTCTTTGTGTGTGAGATTTGTTTTATTGCTGTTTTTGTTTTGTTTAGTGGGGCTGTTCATTGTATTTCAAAGTCTATGCATTCATTGGTATATGCACGTTGGTGTAATTTTGGTGTTGGAAACCATGTGTTCGGTTTTTTGGGTTTACTTGTTTGCATTGCCTGCTTCTAGGGTGTTTTTTTTGTGTGGTGTTTCAGTGTTTTGCATGGACTGAGCCGTTTCTTGCCATATATGGAGTTTTAAATGTGTTGTGTGTGTTTATTTGGTTGGCCCAGATATTTGTGTGTTTGCATGGGGGTGTCTAGGATGTTAAATCTTCTTTGTGTTGGTCAAATAAGTCGGTAGGTTTGTGGTTTTGTCCTCCTGGGTTTGAGGTGGATTTTCATTAGTTCGTGTTGTTTGAGATTTTCAGCTTATAGGTTTGTAAATTTGTGATTTCGGGTTTAACTTTGGGTGAGTACTTATGTTTTTCTTTGTCTAGTAACAGGTGTTCCTGCACGCAAAAAAATTGATTTGGTGAAGTTGTGAGTTTTCTATGCTCCTAATCATGCTTTTGAATGTGTTTGTGTTTGAGATTTGTTTTGTTGATGTTTGTTTGCGTGTTTAGTGTGACTGCTCGATAGATTTCATAGTCGATGCATTCATTGGTATATGCACGTTGGTGTACTTTTGTTGTTACGTTGATATTTTCATAAACTTCTCTTCATAGTCATAGCAAAGATATCCAATCTTTGATCCAATGAAGGAATTGGGATCATGCTGCGGTATCTGTGTTTTGGGTTTGAAATTAGTTCAAGCTTTATTTGGATCGCTTTTGAATGGTTAGTGTGTTGCGTCATAAATTGTCGCAATTTGCGTATGGGTCGGCCAAGTGGTTTGGACTGGCAGGTGTCTTCGGAAGAAAAGCGTGAACGACAACTGAAACGCCGGCGCCTGACATACAGCCAGCGAACTGCAGGTGGTGGTGGTGGTCCTGCCTTCACTGCAAGTCCTTCAGGTCTGTCCCCATGTGTGTCGTTTTTTATACGGATTATAGTCCACCTCCTATTTGTGATTGAGGTCTAACTTGTTGATCCTTGTTTTCTCTTGAATACCC